ACTTGTCTCACGACTTCCGCTTCCTCCCATCCAATCAGGGATCCTTGGGCCTGCGCCATCTGGGCCAATATTGTTGTATTAGACCCTTTTCTAGCATCATACTTATGTTCCCTAATCCTTACCCCGAGGTTTCTGGTAGTGACTCCTACGTAATCTTTTTTTATTCCTAATTGCTGGTTCTCGTATGGAATTTTGTAAACACCTGCCTTATCTACTTTTTTAATAACCCCTTTATCGTTTCTAAGAATTTTATATAAATTGGGAGCTCTTTTCAAAATCACCTTTGAACCTTTAACGCTTGCAATTTCCTTCATAATTCCTCCTAAATATTTGTTGAATGTAAATTTTGTGTACTTGGATGGACCTTGTCTGGAGACTTTATCATTATTCTTCTCAAATTTTCTAACAATACCCGTTATAATATTTCTCTTATAACCTAAGGCTTCTGCTAACTGTATGATCCTTTCGATCTCAGTAACCCGGTCTATAATGTTGTCGCAGTATAGAAAAGCCCTTCTAACCATTTCGTGCCTTGGTTAGTGCATATTTATCATTAATCCCTTTAATCACATAATGCATTAAAGCACCATCATCCATTTTTCCAAAATTACATAACTCTTTCATCTTTAAATAATATTCCCGAATGGATTCAGAGTCCTGCATTATGTGTTTACTCGAAAGCTCATGCAACCTAGCTGAATTAATTTCAAATGAGAATTCATCGATCAAACAACACTATTGAAAACAGAACTAGCTACAACATAACTTTGTTCAGATTGGATAGAGGAATCGAGACTGATTTTATTTTTATTCATATTGCACTGCATTGAAAATTCACCTTAACCTTCAATTTTTTTATTTGGTTCATCTGCTACAGGCTCAGAGCCAGACGAAACGTCAAGTCAGACATGCTGAGCTAAGGATTCCAAAAGACACAAATCAGCTAGAATTCTGTTCGCTACTTTTGATTTATTGCCTTAACAGATATGTTTAAAATGTTAGAAATCGTAATTAGCTCATTCAAGGAAAAGTTACCTTCTATACTTTTCAATTTCTTATTAAAATCCTCAATGTAAATCCACTGAAATTTCTTATTCTCTTTTGGCTTGACCGATCGCCGTCGGTATCAAAAACAAATTTATGAAAAATTTTGATTTTATCAAAGTTGCAATTCTTCAATGCAACACTTATTTCTATCATTTAGAATCATTTTACGGAATAAAAATCGACGTACCCCTTACGCTGTTTCCGAGATGAGTGTTTATACTATCCAAAAGTTTTTGTTTTAATTCAAAATCAAAAGTTTTTGTTTTGGCGAATCACAGTCAGTTTCAGAATCCCTTCATTCGTCATTAAATGTTTCAGTATAATCAGTAAACTCTGTGATTTCGATAATTCACAACTACTTAAATCACTCTTATCCTGCTCTGGAGAAATGTGTCTAAAGATGGCTGGGCTGGGCATTAAGAAGCGTATGCAGAACACAGTTTAAGAAAGAATATGAAGAACTTTTATGACATGTATCGTATTAAAATATACGTCATTATAAAACAAAACTTACAAAATGATGAACACTAAACAAATCATCTTGAAACTAATTATTAAACGGATATTAGAGAGTTTGTGGCCCAAGTTCAAACGTTACTTGTACACAGCAAGCAGAAGTACACGGTTTACGTTTTAACTCCAAGAAAATATCGTTGCAGCGCACATTCACATCATCACGTGACTCAGTGAACGTTGTGCATTGACTCGTGGGAAATTTGTTGAAAAAATGGTGGATACATTTAACATTGAGGGTTACCAGTGAAGATAAATAAACAAATTAAACTATTTTAAAGTACAGTAATACCTCGAATTACACGAACCTGGAGTTATGCGATTTTCAAATCTCATCGATTCGTCTTTTGTTTGAGTGCCATGCAACTCTTGATTACTCACTCCCCCACACTATTGTTCAGCTTACTTGTTCAGATGTGTCACATCGAATTGACACATAGCTACAATTTATTTCTGTGTTTGTTATATCTACAGAGACTTGAGAGACTTTATGTGGTGATTTCTTGTAACTGTGAACGAATCAAAAGACAAGATAAGATTAACGAGAACATTTATTAGCTTACATACATTCGACTTGGATTTTACACAAATTGCAAAATTATACCTCGACTTACGTGGTTATCGCTTGGTCCCACCTGTCACGTAAGTTTGGGGTATTACGGTATTTATAGGGTGTTTAATAACACTAAACAATTATTTTTAATTAGCGTTGTGTCTCCTACCGTACGACAGGACTACCTCATACTTTTGTCGAGGGAAGTATCGGCTTATGTAAATTTGAAAGCAGCTCAGAAAATTAATTTTTAGAAAATTTACAAACATATTACGCTGTTGATGGTAGAAGATGCTGTGGAACAAACCTACCTTAAGATAAGCTATTATGAAGGCAAATATATGTAAATTCTACATCACTTGCTAAAAAANTTTCTAAAAAATTGATTTGTTTTTTAAAATTTTAAAGATTTTTCTGATAAATAAATATTATTCAAAACATATTTTTTATTGACAATTATAATTTTATCACATTTCTTTTTACAGAAGTATGTTCGTATATAATCCTCAGAATAATGCCTCTGCACAAAATGATAGAAAACAGACAATACGTGAGCTTAAAGTTACTTTTGTATATTTAGAATAGTTAAAGAACTAAGTTTGAAAATATTAATCTATCAAATGAAACAGAGTTTGTTCATTTGTTCTGCATTGATTTACTTTTATCTTCACTTTCTTTCATACAAGTGAAATGTAAGATATGTACTGTACCTTGCATTTCTGTTAATATCATAAATTACTGTTTAGGGCTATAAATTAGCTAAGAAAATAAATAAATTTACAATTGATTTCTTTCATATTTCACACACAAGTCACTTCAGTATGTAAATCCATTTGACACCCATTCTAATTAGTTTATTGAGGTTATGAAAAGCAAAATGCAATATAATTATAATGTAATCTTTATTAATAATTAGGTAAAAAGACAAATTATGTAGATACACAGATTTTCTTTTCTTTTTTATATTTGTAACAACCCAACCCAACTTAACACAGATTATAAAAAGCAAAAGCTAATCTACGAATGTTATCCTCAAATGCCACGTAACTTCATATTTGTCAACAGTTTAAGATTAAAATCGTCGATATTTACGTAGAGTAGTTGTTAGCTTATCATAAATTTTAATCTTCTTACATAGGAAGTGACTACATACACATTAAAGTTTAATTTATTATGTATCTTATAGTATATTATAAAAACGAAGAAATTAAGTAACATAATTCATAAGTTGTGGGTAAAAAAAACTATCATTTCCGTTCGATATATCATTTTTCCATGTTATAAAGTATCCTTTGCTAAACACGATTAAAATCCGCCAGTGACCACGTGGTTTCGACGCCAAAGATTCTCGCCGATCTGGCGCCAAGTGGGCGCCATCGGCGGCGCCCGACGCCGAATTGACGACTGGCGCCGCCGATGGCGCCAGTCGACATATCGGCGTCGGTCCAAACAAACGTCTTTTTTAATCCGCAAATTAATAATTAAAGAGGTTAAAGGAATAATAATAAAAATAATCATTAATAATGACAATAAAACGGCAGAAAATCCACATGTTAAACCATTTAAAAAATAACTAACGATGACGTAATTGGGTGTTGGTCTGTGGATTAAAAGTAGTTCCGAGAGTGAATAGGCTCGAATATTAAAAAAAATTGAGTTATTTCAGTCGCGTTGAGGTTTTTTGTATCGGCGCAGCTATTTTTACTTTCCGTTTACGACATTTTTGCGTTTTTTTAGATAAATTTCGATTTTGGTTACGGCGCGGATTTAGACATCGGCGCGCTGATTTCGGCGTTGTTAGGATGTGGATGGCGCGGCGTGTGGCACTTCATTCAAAACTTTTATTTTATCAATCGTCGCGCGGAATGAAAACAAAGTAGAAGATTGGTTCAAGCAACGTCAGAGGTTCCAGGTGAGTCATATTTTAATAATAACGCATATCTTTTAAGTTATTAATACGTTCGAGTTATAAAAAGTAAGGTTTGTGTATAATTGTTAACTCGCATGCGCCAAAAATTAAATTTCCGTCCAGACAGTTCAAATGCTGGATGCTGCGCGCTGGCGTCGTCTGTCGCGACGCGTCCGTCGCCTGTCTGACGACTTTATCACCATCCTCTCGCTTTCTTAACGAATTCTGACCGGTGAAACTGTAATTTTCTCTTCTTTACAACTTTATATATGTTGACAAGACCCGTCAGAATATAAATATCCATCGTATTATTTAGGAAAGTACATAATAAATGATACTGGCATCCTTTTCTTCCAACTTCCTCCTGCTCTTCTTGCTCTCTTAAGGAATTCTAATGGTTAAAACTGTAATTTTCTGTTCTTTAAATGTTTGGAATGTTAATCGATCATGTCAGAATATAAATATTTGGCCTACTTTTTCGAAAAATCTATAAAAATGTGTGCGAACTTGGAGAAATTACTTTTAACAGCTTGTTGTAATGCTGTTGTGGAAGTTAGTTGCTACGTTTCCCGAAGTCTGCTGACGACGGTGGCGCATTGTCGCGTGGATAATAAAAGGGACGATTGCTATAAGAAAATATTTCCCCAAACAATCCCCTGTAGAAAAATGTCTGAAGTCCACACTGTACGTGGGGCCCCGTAATTCAAATTTTACCGAGTCGTGGGAAGCTATAATGTGCCGCTAGCTGACATTTACTGTACAATTTATGCTTCCGAACGCGTGAATGCCAATCGTTTACGTATTGATTATTAACGGAGATGAAATGTCAAAAATTGTGCGTTTTTGTTTCCCTCTGCCAAAATTGTGATCTTTTCTGGCTCTCGTATGATGTGCAAATGGATTAAAATGTAGTTTTATATTTATTAAAAATGCAAAATTTTAACTAAAATTTTAGTATAAATATTTTTGCATCTGTCCCAAATTTGCATTCATGATTATAAAGTACCATTTACTAAGCTTGTTGCATGGATACATTGTGATAAATTAATAGCTATGTTTTCATATGGAATATTGAATAAAATTGTGTACGATCTAATTGCATATTTTTCAGAATATGGAAACTTAATTTGTTGTCTGCCATTTATGCTTTGTAACGTGAGTAACTTTCACATGGCTGAATGTACTTGTTTATATGTAGATTGTTAAGTCCTGCTTGTCTCCATTTCTTATGAAAACTTTATAATAATTTCTCTCTCAAATGGCTTGGATGCTGCGTAAAGATGCATTTTGACGTCTCTATTTGTCAGTTTTCTCTAGTTCTTCCAGCTTGTTTTAGGAATATTTTTGGATAAGTTGCTATTTTCTTTTTTAGTTAGAAATCTTAAAATATATTATTTAGATTTTCTAATTAACATTTATCTCTGGTTTTGGAAATTTTATAATTATACAGAAAACTTTTGTTTTAATTTAATATTTGTTTCCAAGTTGTAATAAAGAGGATTTATTTACTTCCAGTTATGGTTTTGAATAATTCTGGAAAGAAGTTTGATATAGTTCAGTGTACAGAAATGTTCATTTTGAAGATTGTTGTTCGTAATGAAATATTCGTTGTATGTGGCTAGAATATAAGATATTTGAATGTGGGTCGGTTGGTTGAATTCTATATTGATTCGCTTATCTCTGTTTTGAATAATCGGAAAGTTTGTTAATATTAAATTTGCATCTAGCCTAGTTGTTCCTAATGCTAAATATTGTATGTTTTGTACTTGATTGTCTGTTGTTCTCATTTTATAAGGATTGATCAATTGAAACCTGTTTGTGCTGTGTCACATGGTTCAGTATAAGGGTTGCAATGACATCCCATATGGCATGATAAGTATACACTAATGAATGAGAGGTGAAAAGGTCAGTTGTTTTGCAAGTTTTGTTTTTGGCATAGATTAATGAAAACATGGCCGGAGTTATTTGGAATCCGTTTGAGGGCGAAACATGGTGCCATCACTTTCAGCCAACCAGTAGACGAACGAGAATGCAATAGAAACTCTTGGGCTCACCAATGCATGCATAAAAAATTCAAGTCACAGGCCTCCACCCATAAGGTTATGATAACTACATTTTTTTGGCATTGCAGGGCCTTTTTGGTGGACTTTAAAGACCTTCACATGAACATCAATACCGACCGCTACAGTACAAAATTGAACAAGCTGCATAAAGCCACAAAAAATAAGTGACCAGGTATGCTGTCATGTGATCTGGTTTTTATTGCACAACAATGATCAACCACATGTTGCAAACATTGTGCAGGATGCTTTAGCACAAAAAGGTTGGGAGGATCTGCACAACCCTTCCTATAGCACTGATCCATCACCATGTCACTTTCATTTATTCAGACCTTTAAAAATAGCTCTTAAGGGACAGTGCTTTAACTTTGATGTGAAAGTGAAGGAAGCAGTCACCCAAATGGTTCAAGGACCAACCAACAATGTTTTTGTGGACTGTATCCATTGTCTCCCCAAACAGTGGGATGCATGGTTGAATGCCTATGGTGACTTTTTAACAAATAAAATTGCATTCTGGGTCTTTGTATATTGCCTTGTTTAATAATGCCTTACCAACAGATATACTGTTTCATTTGTCTTAATAAATTTACTCAAACTGGTTTCATTTGATCAATCCTTGTAATTCATAAAATTAAGCATAAGGTTGATTGAGAGAATTGGGCTGCAGTTTTGAAATTGCAATCTTATAGATTCTTACTGTCGTCCATCTAGTCATATTTTCTTAATCTCAAGAACAAAGTAAGATGAAAATCAAGACTAGATGCAAAAAGCTGGTGGTTGGAGGATCCAATATATAAACTTCCAGTCTTTGTCAGAAATCACATGATTTTTAAAATTAAAATATGGTTAAAAATTTCAGCATAGTATTGTGAAAATGTCACAATAATTATCTGTTTATTTTATTTAAGATACGTAGATGATGCCTTTATAAATTGACAGAGATGCCTATCACTATGGATTTTTCTATGCTCTTTAAACAACTCTTCAACTCTTTAAACAAATTTAAAGTTTTTGTGAACATTTAACATCAAATTTAATAATAAGATTAAATGTTAAATGCAAAAAATAAAATTAAAAATTTTCATATTGGATTCGAACTTGCATATTAACTCTTTAAGCAATGCCTTAATTAAACACACCTCACTATGAATATGTGAATGGCACTTCTTCATAGGTATTTAATAGTTCTAGAAAAACTTTAATTGTGATTTTTCTCAAGGATGCCTGAATAGTGGGTGCTGCTGCTTTGGTAGAGTTTAAGTATGAGCAAATACTACAGGTCCACAAAATTTTGTTGCAGTTGGTGATGACAACCTCCTAAGTTTCCCTTGTTAGCTTAAAAACCATCAGAAAATTTTTTAACAAATGGGCAAAGCTTGTGAGCAAGTCCCTTAATAGCATTGTAATTCTGTAATTTGTTTCAGATGATAATTTGAAAAATTTATTTTAGATTATGAATATCTTAAAAATTGGAGTGATGACATAATATTGCCCATTCATCTCCTGCTCTGCAACCATGATATCCACAAATTTCCATAGAAACAGTGATGCCACAGTACAGGAAAATATATGAATGAACCATTCATATATTTTCCTGTATTGTGGCACCACTGTTGCACTGTCATTAAGGTACTGAAGAACTGCAAAAACTATAGAATTGAGAATATAATTGATTTTGAAACTACTAAATAGAAATTTGTTCCTAACACCTCACTTTGTTAGTGATTGTAATGATTTTTATATTTTAAATTATAAAAGGAGTATTTTTTCAATCATTTTTACACAAGTTTAAATTTTTTCTAACAAAGGAAAAAAGCATACTACATGCATCATGCAGAAAACTTTTTTAAAATTAGGGTTTCTCTAATGGGATGCCAGCTGTTTTTTAACCTGGGAAATTCTGCAAATTTATTAAAAGTTCACTTCTTTCTTATTTTTGTATTAAGGTTGAAATTCTGCAAGTAGAAAGTATAATTAACTCATGAACTGTCAGAATACATTTGTAGCCTATTTATTAGTTTTTTTAAATTTTTGCTTCTTATGGCATGTCAGAGATTGTCAATAATCAATATGTATTTGTGGCAGGATTCTGAAAATTCTTTACTTGTCAGAATCTGTAATATCTTGAATAATTGCACCAATGCTGTCTTAATTTTAACCATGCCCAGTAGCTTCAATAACTTTATTATGCCAGGTTGTGCAAATTGGACAAGAATCAAACAAGTATGAAGTTTTTCTTCACAAACCTGATTATTTAAGACAAATGAACTGCTGAATTATCAAGCACTGCAACAAGTCTCAAAAACAAACTAAAAAACTTTGAGGCTACGGGTGAAAAAACATAACATCTGTCTTCTCTTACATTCATTAAAGACGATTCCACCCACATCGATTGAATCGGAATCAGGACTTTTAATTGCTAAAAAGATTGAACGATCGGAGTATTGACCATTTTTGTTTCTTAAAATCTTAATACAAATTATTATTGTAAATTTTTATAATATGTTTTATGTAAAAAACAAAAATTACCTTCTAAGTTAGTTTGATCTACATTCATTTTTTCTTTAAATTTTTAACTCAATTTAAAGGCATTTATTTATTTATTTGTTGTTGTTGTAAGCAGTTTCCAAGAAATTTTAATACATTTTTCTATTTATCAAAATTTTATGTAATTCAATGGTATTTTTCATATATATTTTACACAGCATAATTATTATTTTGGAGGTTGCAGGATGTATTAAGTTACTTAAAAAATGAAAAAGAATCTTGACTCCAATAATTATTTTTCAAGTTGTAAAATAGGTGAAATTTTAATTAATAAATTGTCACAAAACATTTGTGTTTTTAGACAAATGTAGAGCCATCACAAACCTGCAACTATCTGCAAGTAGTCATTCTGTATGGACTTGTATGTTGTATGATAGCAAAGTTATTTATCTAGTT